CTAGTCATACTACATTGATATAAAAGTTTAAATCATAAGCTCAATTATTATGTAGGGCAACATAACTATTAGACGCTCAATCCATTGTACTATTTGAACAAGAATGCATTCTTATAATAGCAAATATCATAATTCTCTTTATATAATTTTTAAATTATGCTATTTTCTAGTAAAACAATGAACATTTATAAAAAGAACATGTTGGTCTAATGCCAACCTAACACAAGATCAGTAAGATTTATGATAATCATTCATTAATATTACACTACTCATTATCAAAATTGTCAATTCAAATATTAGCAACACCATTTACTATACCAACATAGCAAATTAGATGAACTCACCAACTAACAACATATTTATACTTTTTATTACACCAACATGAATTTCGTCAATATAACCTTAAAAAAACTCCAACACAATAACACCTTCATCAATTAATCACAAACTGTACAGTAGTACACTATCATTAATTCTTGATTGCAGGCATGTGACGTGTCAGATCCCATGCAACACGTCATCACCACATCTCAAAGCTCTACAAAAATTCTTCTTGTCCCCATTTGGGCCTTCTATTGAGCAGCCCATTTTAGAAGGACCCAAAAAAGCAATTCCAAGCATCCACCAACCAATCTTCCTTTATTGTTTTATTTTTTTTAGTCGGCCGCCACGGTATATGGAGTTATGCCATTATTAATTCGTTGGTCGACCAAAGTCGCACACCTGGCAGTGGTAGGTGAGTCTCCTAACAAAAATCTTCTACATCCACAAAGAATTGAACCCGAGACCTTGTTTAGGCGACATCAAAGTGCTTCCTTTATTTTTAAAACTCTCTACTTCATTTTCTTGCCAAAAATTCACCCTTTTTTTTGCATTCTTATTTTCACCGAAAGGGCTGCCACTAAAAATTCGATTTTTATTCACTATCACTGCAAATCTTGCCAGAAAATAACCCAAAATTTTATTTTTGTTGCTTTCTTTTTTTATTTGTTTTCATCAAAAGGGCTTACATCAATCAGTCTTTCTTACCTAAAGATTCAATTTTTATTCACTATCACTGCAAGTCTTACTCCATTTTCCTTGTAAAATATTCACCCCAATTTTTTTTGTTTTTTTTTTAGCTTTTATTTTTTGGGCCAACAGGGCTCACGCTAAATCAATCTCCCTTACCTAAAGATTCGATTTTTTTTCACTATCACTGCAAATCTTGCCGACCCATGTCCTCCAATCCGGGTTGACCCGCCGGTTTTCCACCATGTCTTGGGTCCAATGGTCCTTGGGGAGCAAAATCAGCCCGGCCGTACTCCTCATCATCGTCCTCGTAGCAGTTGTACTCTTCGCTGCGGCGTTTGTACACCTCCTGGTAAGGTACCTCTCCACGCCGAGATCCACAATTTTCCGAGACTACCCCGACTCGCCGGCGGCCTCCGGCGGCGCCGCCTACCAGCGGCAGCTCCAGCAGCTCTTCCACCTGCACGATGCCGGCCTCGACCAGGCCTTTATCGACGCGCTCCCTGTCTTCGCGTACGACGACATCGTTACAGGGTCGTCGACCGAGCCCTTCGACTGCGCCGTGTGCCTGTGCGAGTTCACGGAGCACGACCGACTCCGGCTACTGCCCTCCTGCAGTCACGCCTTCCACGTCGAGTGCATCGACACGTGGCTGCTGTCCAGCTCGTCGTGTCCCTTGTGCCGGGGGGTGATATCGTCATCTGGGTTCTCGTTCGACAACCCCATTTTCCGCTTCGAGGATTCCGGCGACGGCGGGGGCGTTTCTGGGACTTCCGGCGAAGGTGAGGGTGGGAACGGCGGCGCGATAAGCGGGAGGAGGGTTTTCTCGGTGAGGCTCGGCAAATTTAGGAATGTGAACAGCAATAGTGGTAATAATGACAACAATGGGGGAAATCAAGAAACTGGCGTTGGGGAGAGCAGCGGCTTTAGTGGCACCGGCGATTTGGATGCGAGGCGGTGTTTTTCGATGGGTTCGTTTCAGTATGTGGTGGCTGATTTGGATCTGCAGGTGGCGGCGCTGTGCTCCGGTGGTGGTGGGGGAAGGGGAAGAGGGCAGAATTGTAATTTCACATTTGGTGATGGGGTAGTTGGTGGCGGTGAGGTTGAGGGGAAGAGGATTTACGGTGGTGGTAAAGGTGAAAGCTTTTCTGTTTCCAAGATATGGCTTTGGTCCAAGAAAGGTAAAGATGAATTCCCAAGCTTGCCATGAAAAATCATGGACTAGTCGGTTCCCCGGTGGATCCAAAAACCGAAAGGTTCCTGAGCCAAAAAAAAAAAAAAAAAATTTATGGACAAAATAACTTTTTCTTTTAATTTTTTTTTTTTTTGGATTTGAAACTTGTGTAATTAGTGATGATTCAATTGTTAGAGCTCTTTTTCACTTCATTTTTACTATGTTTTTCTTTTTTTTTGTCTCTTCCAACATTGATGATGTGTGGGTTGTTGGTTTATTTTTTTACTTTCTACTCACCTTTAATTGAATGATGACATTTCTTTCTCAAAACCTTTATCTTTTATCTTGTATTTCTTCACCATTTGATCAATACACACTCGTAACTACGGACTTTTTTCACCATTTCATCAATACACAATCGCGCGACTATGTATGAACCATTTGATCAATACACGCTCGTGCGACTATGTATGGGTCTTCATCAAACAGTGGAAACCGACACTGATTAATTGCACCGTAGTTGTGTGTAGGGTCGAATCTTCGTGCTTTTAGAGCGTCTTCATTTTTTTACTTTGGTTGTTTTGATGTCTCCCAATGTTGATGATGTGTGGTGGTGGTGGTTGTTGGTGTATTTTCTACTTTTTTTACTTTTTAGTCACCATAAATTGAATGATGCCTTTGCACTTTCTCCTCCCCTCACATTTAGATTGATTGACAGATTCCAAAACCTTTATCTTTTCTTATCTTGAATTCAAATTATGTTATCTTTAATTGGTTCCCATAAATCTTGGCAACTGTAATTTTCATGTGGTGGTATGGTAAAATCCACCCCATACACAATTGAAGTATAATCATCTGAGTTTTTTTTCACTGTGTGATCAATTATAACTGCACTGCACTTGTGTGTAATTATGTGTAGAGTTGAATCTAGGGGTGTTAATGAACTTAACGTTCACGGACAAAAGTTCGTTCGAGCTCGTTCGTGTTCGACAAAGCTCGTTCGTTTGTAATCGAGTCGAATTCGAACAGAAAATTAAGTTCATTTAATAATCAAGAAGACACGAGCTCGTTCGCGCACACTCGATAATGTTCATGAATATTAAATTAATATGATATTATTTTATTTTTATATATTACCTAATATTTTTAATATAATTCCAAAATATAAAATAATTTCTTTATTTTTTTACTTTCGAGTTCGAACAAGTTCGAACGAACAAATTTCGAGTTAATCAGACATATCTAAAAAGTTTATGTCTTAAGTTATTCGAACATGAATGAACTCGAACATTGACGAACAATTAAACGAACAGGTTTGAACACGATTTTTGCTCGAAAAATAAACGAACGAAAACGAACATTGGAACAATGTAAACGAACTCAAGCTCGAAACGCTCGATTTCGACTCGTTCGGTTTGATTACAACACTAGTTGAATCGTCAACTGCACTTTCAACTGTGTGTATGTTGAATAGTCGTGCTTTTAGAGGGTCTTCGTGTTTGTTGGTGCAACTCCTCTTTTGCATCTCCCAAGTCTCAATACCCATTGTGGCTAGTGTCAATTATAAAAACGTGTGGAGACACTTCTCAAATGGGCTTTTGGATGCAAAAGTCCATTTGGATAAGTAATTCGTGTTTAGTTCTAAATTAAGAATTGACTTTTGAATAAGTTGCTTCTCCGAACAGTCCAAACAAGCACTTAATAAATTTAATTTTAAGACCATATTGTAGTTAAGATGCTATAAAAGATTTGGGGGAAGGGTATAATTTTGTCAGATAATTGGGTACTTTCTTGCAATTAGACCGAATCAAAGGTAACTAACCCGATGTTAGTATGTACTACTTTCTTTGATCTTTGACAACTTTACGGGTCTATTTTTTTTTTTTTTTTGGTACAGGAAAGGGAAAGCACAGCGAAAGCTAATGCTCGTCACGACCCGGCGGGGTTGAGCCACGCCTAGGCGATCATAATGTAACCAAGGTCCAGCTCCCAGAGGAGGTTGATCAAGTCGTTGCAAGCCACTATGGGTCTAATTTTTAGGTTGTCATCTATGTATATTTGACAAAAATATTGTCTATTATATTTATTTAAATAATAATAATTTTTTGTACACAATGACAAATCAAACCATCAGGATTATATGCCAACCTGGGACGATCGCATTTTCCTTGACATCATTCCAACAGATTTGCTCGTTTTATCAAGTGACAATCTTTTATAACATTAGTGGTATCTTTTTTTACAAGGAAGGAGGCAATGGCCTTAGACTACTATATTACGAGCATAATTAGAAACCCCTATGATATCGTGATCTAATCACGGTTTAACCCCCGTGGGTGGGTCATTTAGGACGTGAAGCCCACTTGGCATTGTTGAGGCCAACGACGCAAGGAAGTCTGCTGCGAAGTATCTCTGACACTTCACATTTGTATCTGATTTGCTTTTAGAAAAATTTTGCTGGTTACTATAAATAAATTTGATACATTATTCTCTGCGTAATTGCGGGATTATAATTAATATATGTTGATTAATGGTGTAATCAGTGATAAGTGGTAAGAAGGCACTCTTGTAATGATGAGGAAAATATTTTGTAGGAATTCTTTATTTGACATATATTAGTTGGGGTCAAATTGGAGCCTAATTATATATATTTTTTTTTTGGTAAAGATAATTATCTCAAATTTAATACAAAGATTCAGGCTATATGTTTGATAAAACGAACTAATAAGGTACCTTATAGCTTATCAGTAATTTTTTAGCTTACAACATATAACTTATGACTTATAGATGAAAAACTAGCTTATATGATAAAAGCGTTTGATAAAACTAGCAGATAAGCAAGCTGAAATAAAAAATTCAACTAGCTTATTTGAAAAGCTGCCTTAAAAGCTTATCAAATAAGTTTGAGCTTTTTAAAAAAACACGTCCTACCAAACGAGGCTTATTTGAGTACATGGAACTTATAAGCTAACCAAATAAGCAATAAGCTAGTTTATTTGTCTACCAAACATAGCCTTAGAAAAATTAAATGTCTTAGAAAAGAAATGTAAATTTTGAAATAGAAAAAATTGACCTAGATTTAAAATTTTCAATGCATATGAGATAAAAATATAATTAAGGTTGTTGTGATAAAAAAATATATATATATATATATATATAATATTACTTGATAATAGTTGGTGGTTAGGAATATTTAAGTGAGTATATAGTGTTACTTTGTTCTAATTTTTTTTTTAATTGTATTAGTAGGTTTGTACTTTGTAGTTTGAAACAATTTAAATGTGATAGTAAATGATTTTCCTTTTTTTTTTAATTAAATGGCATGACATAAGTTTTGACTGATACGAATGTGACTTTAAAACCAATAGCTTCTAGTCTCTTTGTTTCTCTAGTGTGGTCGTGATCTAGAGGCTATAGATGTCGAGTGAACTCACTTTGCTTATAGTCCTCGTTAGTTGGTTTAGTTTGGATTTTAGGGCGCTTATTGCAAGTGTTCCTCCTTCTAGTATTGTATTCGGATTAATTAATCCGCCGTATTGTACCCCGTTTATTTTATTAATGAGAATTCCTATCGTTTCAAGGAAAAAAAAAAACCAATTGCACATGTTAGGCATAGATTTGTAGGTCTGGACTAATAACACAAGTTTTTATTTATTTATTTTTTTAAAGAAAAAAATAACTTTACAAAATGCATTGCCTTTTCTTTTGTTGGTGAATGACCAAGTATCAAACATGTTACTGGGGTGATTGTTTATGTTTTGAATAGTAAAAAATCTAGAATTTTTTAATTATGGTTAAGTTTAAGAAAAAGTGGTATGGTTAGTTGTTAGTGGATATATTAAAATAATATTTAAAATAAAATAGTTAAAATTGATTTGATGTAAAAGTAAGAGAAAATGATTGGAAGTGATAGTTAGTTAAAATTAGTTAAAATTATGTGAGTAGATGAATAGTGAAATAAAGTTGATGTGATATGTAATAATGATTTGTTGATGTTATTTAATTATATAATAATATTGGAGATAGTGTGGTTGAGTTAAAATTGAGTTAAATTTGAATTTGAGTAAAAAAAATTACTGTACAAATGGTAAACAACCACCCCCGTATTTTTCCAAAATCACAGACATAATATATTTCTTTTAGTTTGCTTCACTACAATATTCCCCCTAAGATTTAGCTTAATTAAAAAAGAACTTAGGTTGTGAAAAATTGTCACCAAAAGGAAAAAAAAAAGGCAAAATAGCTCGTTATATCACAACCTTTTACTAAATTGCTAAAACATCACGACTTTTGGACCTTGGCGGAGAATATCACAACCTTTGATTTCTTTGCAAAACGA